AACTCGGGAGACCTCATCTCTACAATAAATCAAAAATTAGCCTGGCGTGGTAGCGCATGCCTGTAGTTCCAGCTACTTGGAAGACTGAGGTGGAAGAATTGCCGAAGCCCAGCAGGTCAAGGCTGTGGTGGCCGGGAGCGTGCCACTGCACTCCAGTCTGGGCGACAGAGTGAGACTCCAACTCAAAACAAATAAAAATAAAAAATAACACTTACCACTTATTTGCTGCAGATGATTAATTGCTGGAGTTGAGGGGTAAATCCTACCGTTATTATGTTCCCATTACTTCCACCTTTGGTATTGGTCTATCTTTTGCAAGCCTGGTCAGTTTAATTAATGGATATTCCATGCCTGTTTTCTCACCTCACATTAGTTTTTGCTTATCCAAAATGCTGGAGCAGTAAGGGCTGGGTGTAGTGTGGGGTGTGATTGTCTTAGGAAAGAAAAAATAGTTGGTAAAACAGTTAAGATTGTCCTACTTAGACACAAAGACTACAGGAACTAGCCAGGATGTACTTGGAACATTCTTAGGGAACAGATGAACAGTTCTCTTCACCCTGTAGTTCAGAAAGTAACTGCCTGGTGTCCAATTTATCCAGTATCTGTCAGTGAATGTCAGTGAATGGGAAAAACCAGTGAGACAAAGGTCCTTTTGTTATCTTCCAGACCAATAAGGGACAGAGGTTGGGTGGGGGGGATTTTCTTAGTCTTAGGCTGGAGGATGTTGAAGCCCTTGGTATAGGTCATCAGAAAGAGGAATAGTAGAAAATAAAAACCTCATGTGGGAAGTTGGCCATTAATGAAAGGAAAGTAACCCTGAAATCAAGACTTCTTAAAAATTGTTCTTGTTATATTAATATCTTACCATGTGGGCCTCCCTTGTGGTATGTTCTCCAAACCTCATCATATCATACACTTGCGTATTATAAATGCTATGACAAAGCCAGCTAAAAACCCAGTATTCAGACAGGTACACTTTTAGCATCTACCAAATTAACTCCAACACTAACTGTATTGTTGGCATTGGGATCTGGTTTAAAAAGCCATGTTCAGCTGGGCTCGGTGCCTCAGCCTGTAATCCCGCGCCTTTGGGAGGCTGAGGTGAGTGGATTGCCTGAGCCTGCAGGTTCAAGACCTGCCCGGGCAACTTGGTGAGACCTCATCTCTACAATAAATCAAAAATTAGCCGGGCTTGGTAGCGCGTACCTGTAATTCCAGCTACTCAGAAAGCTGAGGCAGAAGGATCGCTGGAGCCCAGCAGATCGAGACTGCGGTGGCCGGGAGCAGCCACTGCACTCCAGTCTGGGCGACAGAGTGAGACTCCAACTCCAAAAAAAAAAAAAAAAAATGAGCCAGGCGTGATAGCTCATGCCTGTAATTCCGGCTACTCGGGCTGAGGTGGAAGGATCGCTGGAGCCCAGCAGGTCAAGGCTGCGGTGGCCGGGAGCGGCCACTGCACTCCCGTCTGGGCGACAGAGTGAGACTCCAACTCAAAAAAAAAAAAAAAAATCAGCCGGGCGTGATAGCTCATGCCTGTAATTCCAGCTACTCGGAAGGCTGAGGTGGAAGGATCGCCGGAGCCCAGCAGGTCGAGGCTGCGGTGGCCAGGAGCGACCACTGCAATCCAGTCTGGGCTGAGACTCCAACACAAAAAAAAACAACAAAAAAAAGCCATGTTCAATGGAGCTTGTGTGTAACCATACAGTATCACACAAATGGAAGGTTAAGAAATGCTCTAATTTTATTTATTTTTTAGTTGGAGTCTCACTCCGTTTCCCAGGCTGGAGTGCAGTGGTTCATTCACGGCCACCCCAGCATCGACCTGCTGGGCTCAGGTTTCTTTCCACTTCATTCTTCCAAGTAGCTGGAACTACAGGCACGTGCTACCACGCCCAGCTAATTTTTCGATTTATTGTAGAGATGAGGTCTTGGCAAGTTGCCCAGGCTGGTCATGAACCCATGCGCTCAGGTAGTCCTCTCACTTCGGCCTCCCAAAGTGCTGGGATTACAGGCTTGAGCCACCACGCCTGGCCGACTAATTTTATTTCTTTCTTTTTTTTTTGAGTTGGAGTCTCACTCTGTCGCCCAGACTGGAGTGCAGTGGCTGCTCCCGGCCCCCGCAGCCTCGACCTGCTGGGCTCGGCGATCCTTCCACCTCAGCCTTCCGAGTAGCCGGAATTACAGGCGCGCGCTACCACGTCCGGCTAATTTTTTGATTTTATTGTAGAGATGAGGTCTCGCCTGCCCAGGCAGGTCTTGAACCTGCAGGCTCAGGCAATCCACTCACCTCAGCCTCCCAAAGGCATGGGATTACAGGCTGAGCCACCGAGCCCGGCTTAATTTTATTTCTAAAGTTGGCAAGCAATCTATAGGTGCCTGCTATTTAATTTAGATATGGACTCCTGAGTTGATTACATGCTGTCCTCGGACTCTGCAGGTTAAGCTGGAGCTTAAGGAGCTCACAAGGCATTAATTAAGGTGATCTGATGTGGGAAGAGAGGCCCTCCTCTCTGTGGAATAAAGTGTGAAAGTCTTTGGGGAAGGGAATCTTCTTACATAAGTCAGATGTGCTCCTTCTTGGAATGAATGATTACCTCAGAGTGATTCCAGGTGATCTCTGGCATCCTCTGAGAGGTGGTCTGCCTTGTTTACCTAATACAATGCTTGACTTAAGTTGCTCAATAAGTATTTGTTGAAGGGATGATGAACTAAAATTGGCCAAGTGCCTTGAACGTGTTTGAGAATTGATTTGTCCTGATTATCCAAAAGATTGTGTCTTCTCACCTTCTGATCCTAGGTGTAGGGCGTTACTAATTTGGAAGCATGAAGGAGAAAAATGCTTTGATTTATTTCAGAGGAAAATAATGTTGACTGGAAAATAATGAAACCAATTTGCAATCTAAAGGGAGTATTAGTTGTCTTGACGTTGAGCCCTAAATCAAGCATACCTACCCTTGGGGGGAAATGATTTTTATCCCAGAACCCTGCAACAGTTGTAAAAATCCAAATTACAAAAGTGAGGTTGGAAGTTCCAGGAGTTGAATGTGGAAGTGGAAAACATTGTCAGAGTGAAAGAACGACCTTGTAGTTGCTCACTCTCAAATACATTCTGCCTTAGAGAGAGGCGTAAGCATAAATCCGGAGAAACTGGAAGGAAATGGCTGGATTATCTTGCAAGCTAGACAGTGTCTTTTGATGAGTATTTCATTCATCCACTTATGCAGCAAGTATTAAGTCTGCTGTGTCAATGGCAGGCTTTCCGTTTTGCTATAATGAGAGCAGCCTCACTCCTACGTTAATTCAAGAACTAGCACCTAGCCGGGTTCGGTGGCTCAGCCTGTAATCCCGCGCCTTTGAGAGGCTGAGGTGAGTGGATTGCCTGAACCCGCAGGTTTGAGACCCACCTGGGCAGCGAGACCTCATCTCTACAATAAATCAAAAAATCAGCCGGACGTGGTAGCACATGCCTGTAATTCCGGCTACTCAGAAGGCTGAGGCGGAACCGAGGCTGCGGTGGCCGGGAGCAGCCATTGCACTCCAGTCTGGGCTACAGAGTGAGACTCCAACTCAAAAAAAAAAAAAAGACCTAGCACCTGAAGACCCTGCTTCTCCCATGAGTAAGAACTGATGACAGAGGGGAAGGTAAATACAGTCCTGACCCCCAAAGAGGGGGTGTTTGAGGATGTGTGGAGAATCTAGGGAGGAGCAGGACAAGGCTAATGTGAGAGGCAGAATAGTGGGAGACTGTCCTGAAGGATTTTAAGACTTGTGCCCTTTTTAATGGCAAAGCCATGCTAGGCACTGTAGCTTATGCCTGTAATCCCGGTGCTTTGGGAGACCAAGTTGGGAGGATCACTTGAGGCAAGGAGTTTGAGACCAGCCTGGGAAACATAGCAAGACCCTAGCTCTAAAGAAAAAAAAAATTTTTTTTAAATTAGCCAGACATAGTAGCCCATACTGAGTCCTGGCTACTTGGGAGCCTGAGGTAGGAAGATTGCTTGAGCCCAGGAGTTCAAGGCTATAGTGAGCTATGATTGCACCACTGCACTACATCGATAGACAAATGCAGATTCCAACTTAAGTTTGATCAGCCTTGACAAAAGCTAGCAATCCATATTCATTATCATTGGAAATAGTCTTTCCCTCAAATGTTTCCTTTTTTGTCTATCTAGGTAATCTGTTGGGAATCTGTATATCTCAGGGAAAGAAGGGAAGGAGAGGTTTTTGAAAATAAGTTCCAAGACTTCCCCACCCCAATGAGAAAAAAAGAGAAAATCTTTCGGTTTTTTTTTTTTCTTTTTTTTTTTTTTAGTTGGAGGCTTACTCTGTCGCCCAGACTGGAGTGCAGTGGCACGCTCCCGGCCACCGCAGCCTCAACCTGCTGGGCTCCGGCGATCCTTCCGCCTCAGCCTTCCAAGTAGCTGGAACTACAGGCACACACTACCACGCCCGGCTAGTTTTTTGATTTATTGTAGAGATGAGGTCTTGCTAAGTTGCCCAGGCGGGTCTTGAACCCGCAGACTCAGGCAATCCACTCACTTCAGCTTCCCAAAGCATGGGATTACAGACTGAACCACCGAGCCCAGCTGAAAATCTTTCTGTTAATGGTAGCTAAATAGAAGGGCAAGTGGTTTCCTTGGCATTCACGCTGGCCTGAGCCTAAATCCCTGGGAGGGTACCAGCAGGTGTTGGGTAGCTCTGGTCACCAGCAATTTCTTCACATGCCACTACAGTTACTGGGCAGACACAGATGATCCAGGCAAAGGTGGCAGTGCTTTAACTGCTGTAAATGTGAGTAACCACAGGTGAAAACCAGATTCTACTCAGCTAAAGAGAAGAATTGGTAAATTTTTCCCCCTGCATTCATGAGGTGCTGTTGTAAGCTAAAATGGTGCCAAAATGCCTGTAACACCCATCTGAGTAGCCCATATTAAGTCAGGATTGTTTTTAGAGGTTAATACATGAAATTAATCTCAAAATATAAATCCTAACTGTTTCAGAGACGTGAATACAGCTGTGATGGAGTTACTGATCATGGCTTATGCACTGAAGACTGCCTGTGCCAGGAATATTATTGGAGTCATCCCTTATTTCCCCTACAGCAAGCAGAGCAAGATGAGGAAGAGGGGTTCCATTGTGTGCAAACTTTTGGCATCCATGCTGGCTAAAGCAGGTGAGCTTGGACAGAGAGCCAGCGTTCCAGCACTATCATTTAGCATTCTCTCCTAGTTAAGATTAGTTTATACCTCAGATGTCTAGTTTGGGGCCTATTTTGTTTGTTTCTTTTTGTACAGTTTTAATTGGGGATGTGTGAGCTTGGTTATAAATTCTTTTTTTCCTGCCAATTCTCTTTGTCTTACTTTAGAATGCCATTGCTTCAGTGTTTTCTACTTTTTCTAGTCATGAACATTTTATCATTTGTCACTTCTTTGTTTCATCTTAATCATTAAAATTTTAGCTGATGGCCTTGGCATTCTTATATGATCTTTTGAGCTTTAGGTCTAGGTGTACATATTTGCCCTGACTAGCTAATTTCTATTTATGTTCTTAGAATTAAAACTGGATTTTTCTTTTACTACTTCTTTAGTTTATATAGTCTCCTTCCTACCCCTCATTGCCTTTTGCATAGCAGCTCACTTTCATTATTTTTATTCTTAAGTGCAATGGCAAACTTTGTGGCCTATAAATCTGATGCTATTGAGTTTTTATTTTCTTATGTCTATTTAAAAACGCTAATACATGTTTTGGTCTTCAGAAAGAAATATAACAATCCTCCCTCGGTATCCTCATGGGATTGGTTCCAGAACCCCATCTTCCCCCCAGCAGATACCAAAACCTCTTATCAATAGGGTAGTATGTGCACATAAACCTATGTACATCCTCCCATATATTATAAATCACCTTTAGATTATTTATAATACTAATCCAATATAAATACTATGTAAGTAGTTGTTATGCTGTGTTGTTTAGGAAATAATGACAAGGAAAAAAATTCTGTACATGCTGTATACAGACACAACCATTCAAGCCTAACTACTACATTTTTAGTCTGGTTGGTTAAATCCATGGATGTGGAACCCACAGATGCAATGGGACAGCTGTATTTCAATTTTATTCTCTTTAAAAAGGCATCATGATTTTGGAGAGAACCAAGTAATACTGGTTTTTTGCTCTGGAAGCTTTGCAGTGACCTTTGGCAATTTGCAGTGTATTTATACATGTACTTTTTTCTATTTAGTAGTTGATTATAAAAGTATGTCTTAGTTATCTTTCTATAATAATACTTGAAGCATTCTTTTATCACATACAGAAATTGTTCCAAACTTCAGTATCTTATCTTTGTGTTACATGAGTTTCTTTTCTTCTAATATCTATTTTACTTTGCTTTTGCTTTCTTATTCCTTTTTTGCTGAAGCCATAGTTCTTTAACATTTCTTCCTAGATTCTTTAATCAAGGCCTTCCTATTTTTTACATCTATTATTGCTCAGTATTTATTAATTCCATATTCATATTTTTGCTTCTATCCGATTATTCTTTTCTTGGTTTTCTAGACCAAGCCAGTAATTAGTACTTTCCTCAGCTTTAGTTCTTTGTCCATGTGGAAGGTCATAGGCTTCTTTACATTAAAGTTTTATTAAGATTAACAATAAATTCTGTAAATACTGTGCTTGTTCACAATATCCTCTGTCTCCAGTCTTCTGGTGGGAAGCAGGAGTTGAGCATCTAGTCTGTGTCCACTGTAGCCATTAACCTGTAGGGTGAACTTTGTAATTTTTTGTTTTAAAATTTCAGGTTTAACTCACATTATCACTATGGATCTTCATCAAAAGGAAATACAAGGCTTTTTCAGCTTTCCCGTGGACAACCTTAGAGCCTCACCTTTCCTGCTTCAGTATATCCAGGAAGAAGTGAGGAGCCACCAGCAAACACCCCATTGTCCTCAAAAGAGATCCTATTTAGTTTTTCTCTGGTATTAGATTTCAGTATTGAAAGGCACATCAAATGAGCTTTCCCTTAAGTCTTATGCCTGAGGCAGGCAGATAGGGTCAACATTTAGTCATGGAGGCTCATATTTTTAAGACAGTAAAAATGAATTTTCTTCCAAATATCTTTAACAGTTTGCTTATGTTTTCTAAAATGAAGGTGTTAATTATCTTTTTATCCTTGGTATAGGAGTACTTTTTGCAATGATGTTAACTGATAAATGTTAGACATAAAATATGTGATTACTAGTTTGGATCATTGTTAGAAGAGGAAAAATTGTAATACCAGCGTCTAGGTGACATTTTTGATAACTTTTCAGTATTTCTATTTTTCCTTCAAATCTAGATTCCAAATTACAGAAATGCCGTCATTGTAGCCAAGTCTCCTGATGCTGCAAAGAGGTAAGTAAGCCAAATATTTATCAGATTCCTTTTGGGTGCTATGAAGTCAGAATTAGCTGTTTTAGAGTCCAGGGGCTGTCCTAACATGGCCTGTAAAACTCCTTGGCTCTCGCTTTCCCCTGTGTCATTGTCGTATCCTGACCACACATGATTTTGTCTCTAGTCTCCATACAATATAAGCAGATCTCTGAATTACTCAGCTTTCCTCTGGGGAAAAAAGTTCTTCCTTTAAGTTCTTAGGGAAAGGAAAATAGCCTATGAGCATTTTTTAGTCAACTGACTTTATTTTATTTTGAGCTGGAGTCTCACTCTGTCACCCAGGCTGGAGTGCACTGGCGCATTCACAGCCACTGCAGCCTTGACTTGCTGGGCTCAAGAGATCCTTCCATCTCAGCCTTCCAAGTAGCTGGAACTAAAGGTGTGTGCCACCTTGCCAGGCTAATTTTTTTATTTATTGTAGGGATAAGGTCTTGCCAAGTTTCTCAGGCTGGCCTCGAACCCCGAGGCTCAGGCAATCCTCACCTCTGCCTCCTAAAGTGCTGGGATTATAGGCATGAGCCATCATGCCCAGGTAGGCAACTGATTTTAAGATGTAGTTTTGAATAAAGTTTGTTCTGTTAGAATATTGAACAGAGGATAAATTCAAACTTATCTAGAATCAGATATGAGCACAGACTCCCAAATCACATGTCCCTTGAGGCATTTACCTCTGGCCTGGGCCCCACATTCTGATTTATGTAAGTAATGTCTTCTATGTCCCTAAGAGATTGAATATTTTCATTTTATGATTAATAAAGTGATGCAGTAGTAATGCTTGGGTTTTCTTCCCATCAGTTTCACCATTTCCCTTTGTCCTTCTCCAAGGGCCCAGTCCTATGCTGAGAGACTGCGTTTGGGGTTAGCTGTCATCCACGGGGAAGCTCAGTGCACAGAACTAGACATGGATGATGGGCGACATTCTCCCCCTATGGTCAAAAACGCCACTGTGCACCCGGGCCTAGAGTTGCCATGTAAGATGATTTCTGCATTTTTATTTTATTTGTAAATTGAAGAAAGTTTTAAGTAGTGTGATTAGCTTGGAGTTAATACCTATGTGAATATATGCTGTCTTGCTGTTTTTCTTTTTTTTGAGTCGGAGTTTCACTGTGTTGCCTGGAGTGCAGTGGCATGCTGGGCTCAGGTAATCCTTCCGCCTCAGCCTGCCATAGCTGAAACTACAGGCACACGCCACCACGCCCCACTAGTTTTTTGATTTATTGTAAAGATGAGGTCTTGCCAAGTTGCCCAGGCTGGTCTCTAACCTGTGAGCTCAGGCAGTCCTCTCACTTTGGCCTCCCAAAGTGGTGAGATTATAAGCATGAGCTACTATGCCCAGCCTAGCTGTTTTTCAGTAATTGGATGGTATTACATTTGATTTCCTTTGTGTAAAAGGAGATTGTGTATGCACATTTGCAAACTGTGCAAGGACAATTGTAATCTAGTTAACACTTAGCATTCAAAGAACATTAAATAATTTTGCTTTAGTTTAAAAAGTTGTATGTGTAAAAAAAATTAAAATAGAAATTATATATTAAAAAAACAAAGTTGTATGTGTGATGATGTGAAATCTCTAGCTTTTGTATTTTAATAAGCTGAGTGAGTGATAGCAGTCATTGATCAACTTCCAGACTTTGACCGTCAGGTAACTTGTAGCACTTACTCTAGTAATATAGCCCTTTGACCTCATACTCGACTAACTTGCTGTGATTCATCCAGTAGTATGGAAGCTGTTTACTTCCATGGACTTTGGTGTGGCAGAAACCAGAAGATATGGTTAAACTCTTTAGAGGAAGGAGATTATTTCTTTTTAAAATCTGTACCTATTTGCTGTGGCTCAGAAACATGCAGAGATCAATAGCGTGAAGAAATAGAATGCTTGCATTTCAGGCAGGCTTCTGCCTAAGGCGTAAGCATTCCTTTTTTTTTTTAACCTTTGCTTTTTCCATTGCTTTATTTTCAATTTTGGATGTTTTTATATGAGAAACAAGTACTCTGATATACTTTTAAATTTTTATTTATTTATTTAAATAGGGCTAGGATCTTGCTATGCTGCTCAGGCTGGCTATGAATTCCTGTCCTCATGTGATCCTCCCACCTCAGCCTCCCAAGTAGCTGGGTCTATAGGCCTGTGCCACCATCCCCAGCTACTAATATGCTTTTATTTAACTTAAATTTTTACTGTCAGCATTTTGTTTATTTTTTGAGGATTTTATAATTGAAATTCTTGAATAGATAACCCATTCACATATTTAATAGATAATCCAGTCACATATTTCAAAATTTAAAGGGTATAAGATTCTTCACAGTGTAAAGTCTGCTGGCCTACCCCAAACTCTTCTCTGCCTCTAGCTACTCAGATCTTTGATGCATTTGGCTTCTTGCATATGTAAGCAACTATTTCTTTTTCTCTCATTTCCACACAAATGGTAATATGTTATACAAATTGTTCTGCTTTATTCCTTTTTCATTCATTAGCTCCTTCCCTGCCAGTACTTACAGATCATACAGAATTTCTCAGTCTTTTTTTAAAAATTTTATAGAGTGCCTCTGTCACCCAAGCTGGAATACAGTGGTACCATTATAGTTCACTGCCTCGAGGTCCTGAGCTCAAGCAATCCTCCTGCCCCAGACTCCCAAGTAGCTGGGATTACAGGTGTGTGCCACCACACCCAGCTAATAAAAAAAATTTTTTTTAGAGATGGGGTCTTGCTGTGTTGCCCAGGATGCTCTTGAATTCCTTGCCTCAAGCGACTCTTCTGCTGGTTTTACAGGCATGAACCACTGTGCCTGGCCTGATTTCTCAGTCTTTTTTACAGTTTTATAGTGATTCATATTATGAATATACTATAATTTATTTAATCAGTCCCATGTTGATAGACATGTAGGTTTTTTTCAGTCTTTGGCTATGAAAAACAAAGCTTCAATAATAATAAACATCTGTTGAGCCCTTTATTATGTGCCAAGTGGTTTTCTTTTTTTTTGAGTTGGAGTCTCACTCGGTCACCCAGACTGGAGTGCAGTGGCCGCTCCCGGCCATTGCAGCCTCAACCTGCTGGGCTCCAGCAATCCTTCCGCCTCAGCTTTCCAAGTAGCCAGAACTACAGGCACGCGCTACCACACCTGGCTAATGATGAGGTCTCTCCTAGTTGCCCAGGCGGGTCTCAAACCCGCAGGCTCAGGCAATCCGCTCGCCTTGGCCTCCCATAGTGCTGGGATTACAGGCTGAGCCACCGAGCCCAGCCTGCCGAGTGGTTTTCTAAGCACATTAGTAGATCATTGCATTTGGTCCTCATGCAACCATCCATATAGGGATGTATATGATTCCTCATTCTGCTAACCAGGAAACAACCAGGAACTGGTGGAGCCGGAGATTGGAATGAGTTGGCTAGCTCCAGAATCCATACTTGGCTTTCTATTTTGAATTAAGTTTAGATTTACAGAAAAGTATAAAGAATATTACAGATTTCTACTATATACTCTTCACTCTGTTCCTAGATTGAACACTTATATATACATATCTGTTTTTCCACTACTTGAGAATAAGTAAGAGACATAATGTCCCTTTATTCCTAAATACTTCAGTGTGTATTTTGCAAAAACAAAAGACTCTCTTATATAACCACAGTATAATTATCAGACTCAGGAAATTAACATTGTTATAGTATTGTACTCTACAGACCTTATTCTCATTTCACCAATTGTCCCACTAATGTTCTTTAAAGCAAAGGAAAAAACTTCTTTCTGGTCCAGGACTTAATCCAGGGTCACACATTGCATTCAGTTGTCATTTCTCTTTAGTCCTCCTTAATCTGGAATGGCTCCTCTATTCATTGTTTCTTATGACCTTGATACCTTTGAACAGTATGGGCCATTTATTTTGCAGACTGTTCCTTAATTGGGGCTTGTTTGTATCCTCATGATTAGATTCGGGTTATGCATTTTTGGCAGAAATATCTCAGGAAACACGTGATGTGTCCCATTACTGGTGATATGGGGTTCTGGTTGGTTGGTAAGGCAATGTCTGGCTTCTCTACTATAAAGTAACTCCTTTTTTTTCTCCCTTTGTAAATAGCAGTATCTTATGTTAAGACTATGTAAATAGCCTGTTTCTCATCAAATTTAACATCTATTAATGATTCTTGCCTGAACCAATTATTACTATGATTATTTCCAAATGGTCATTTTTCTAATTCCATCATTCCTTGTACATTTATTGGTTGACAATCTAGCGTAAGAAAGCTTTCTCTTCCTTTTTTTATTCATTTGTATCAGTATGGATTCATAGAATATTATTTTGTTCAATGAGTTATATAATCCATGACTATCACAGGCATACCTCAGAGATCTTGCAGGTTCACTTCCAGACTACTGCAATAAAGCAGATATATTGGCTGGGCATGATGGCTTGCACTTGTTTTTTTTTGTTTGGTTTTTTTTTTTTGAGTTGGAGTCTCACTCTGTCACCCAGACTGGAGTACAGTGGCCGCTCCCAGTCACCGCAGCCTCGACCTGCTGGGCTCCGGCGATCCTTCCACCTCAGCCTTCCAAGTAGCCAGAATTACAGGTGTGCGCTACCACGCCCGGCTCATTTTTATTTATTGTAGAGATGAGGTCTCGCCAAGTTGCCCAGGCGGGTCTCGAACCTGTGGGCTCAGGCAATCCACTCACCTCAGCCTCCCAAAGGCGCGGGATTACAGGCTGAGCCACCGAGCCTGGCATGCACTTGTAATCTTAGCACTTGGGAGGGTGAGGTGGGAGGATTGCTTGAGGCCTGGAGTTTGAGATCAACCTGGGCAATACAGCAAGACCACTTCTCTAAAAAAGTAAAAAAAAGAAAAAAGTTATCCAAGTGTAATGGTGCACACTTGTAGTCCCAGCTACTCAAGAGGCTGAAGCAGGAGGATCAGTTGAACATGGGAGTTTGGTGCTGCTTTGCTTAAACCACTGCACTCCAACCTGGACAGCAGAGCAATAGAGCAAGACCTTGGCTCTAAAGAAACAATAATGAAGGCCCAGTGTGTAGTGGCTCACACCTGTAATCCCAGCACTTTGCAAGGCTGAAGTGGGAGGATGGCTTAGGCAAGGAGTTTGAGACCAGCCTGGACAACTGAGTGAGACCCTGCCTTTACAAAAAATAAAAAAATTAGCTGGGCATGATGGTGCACACCTGTAGTCCCAGCTATTTGGAAAGCTGAGGCAGGAGGATCACTTGAGCTCAGGAGGTCGAGGCGACAATGAGCTATGTTTGTACCACTGCACTCCAACCTGGGTGGCAGAGCAACACCTTGTTCCTAAAAAATAAATTAATAAATAGTATTTAAAAGGCAAATATTGCAATAAAGTGAGTCTCATGAATTTTTTGTTTTCCTAGTGCATGTAAAAGTTAAATAAAAATTTCTTCAGATTTTCATCTTAAGAAATACTCTTTACTCATCCATAAGAAGCAACTCTCATCCATTTTTAAGTTTTCTTTCTTTTTTTTTCGAGTTGGGGGTCTTACTCGGTTCCCATGCAGTGCAGTGGCATGATCATAGTGATCACAGTTCATGGCAGCCTTGACCTCCTGGGCTCAGGCAGTCCTTCTACCTCAGTATCCCAAGTAGCTGGGACCACAAGCACGCACCACCACACCCAGCTAAGTTTTTGATGTTTTTTTTTTTTATAGAAATGAGGTTTTGTTATGTTGCCCAGGCTGGTCTCAAACTCCTGGACCTCCACCCACCTCGGCCTCCCAGAGTGCTAGGATTATAGGCATAAGCACCTCGCCCAGTCCCATTTTATTTTATTTTTGTTTGTTTTTATTTTTGATTTTATTGTAGAAATGAGGTTTCGCCAAGTTGCCCAGACTGGTCTTGAACCCCTGGGCTCAGACAATCCTGTCACATCCGCCTCCTAAAGTGCTTGGATTACAGGTGTGAGCCACCATGCCCAGCCCTAGACCTGTTTTAAAGTTTGATCATGAGATTGCAGT